AAGAAATGCAGAAAAGGGAATCTACGGAGGTTATCTATGGACCGTAGGTCTATTGACGCTCCTTAGATGGTGGTCGTAGATCAGTAGTCAAGGCATGGAAGGCAAATCAGGGAAATCTGACAAGGGTGGAACCACGGTGACCATTGATAGTCCGTAGATTGATCTACGGACCGTATTATTGATCTGTAGATTGATACTGCGAGGGTTCCAGTACTTGATATTTGAAGAGTCTAAGTATGGAGCTACGAATAGAGACTGACGGACCGTAGATCGATTTACGGTCCGTATTGCAGTTCCGTCGTTTGCTTCAGAGAAGTTGATTTTTGGAAGCTGAAATATGTTCCAAGTCTTGGCTGATGGAAGGGACTCACGGACCATAGATCCATTGACGGTCCGTGAGTCAGTCTCGTGGAATGAAGACGCGTGTCTGTAACAAACTTTCCTTATTTTGTTTCCCTTTTAATTTAGGACTTGTTTTCCTCATTTTTGGGGGTTAGACATTATTGTTCTATTCTAGTTCTTGACTTGGGAGATTAACTTGCAATTTCAGTAATTTTTAATTTCTTAAGTTCGTTCTGTAGATTTTTGTGCTGCAATTCAAGTTGAAATTCTGGGTTTATTATTCTTCTTACGTAAGTTCATAATTCTTTCATCTAAAACAATGAATTGTGTTCATATGACTATGAGTAACTAAACTCCACAACTAGGGTTGTGGGAACCATGAGCGATTAACAAAGTATGAATAGTAAATAAGCAATTCTTTAATAGTGTGGTGCATGCATTGATAATTCTTTCATTTAGAAGTCTTTTTAGCGGTTGCAAACGTTAAAACTCGCATTGTTGCTACTTGCCGGACCAAGGAGGTAATCAACAAGAAAAGAATTATCAATATATATTTAGTGTGATACTATCTAATAGGCTAGTGACGATTGGTGCAAAGTAATAACTAAACCAAACATCAATTATGATGTCTAATATGAGGTAAAGGTAAGGGTTAGTAAATTATACACACGTATCCGGACCAAGGTGCGGGGTGAAATTCTCTAGATGCCGGACCAAGGATTTAGAGATACCTAACTTATCACTTTGCATGTAGTGCACTAGGAAAAGATTGTTATTACTAGGATTACAGCGTTATGAGCTTTTGGGGAACACGTATACCCTAGTTATTTCTCTCATCTTGATAACAACCAAAGCTGACTTTTAATTACTGATTATTTATTGAAATCTTACAATTTGTTTCAGAAACCCCCCCCCCCCCCTTTAATTACTTGCCTCTGGAAGTAATTTGACTAATTGAATATAATTGTTGGTTAAAGTAAAGTCTAAACCATTTTCCTCGTGGGATCGACCCCAACCTACAAGTTGAGTTCTTTACTTGATAACGATTGCTTATGCTTCTTTAGAGAAATGTAATTTGAGCGTATCAGTAGTCCAGAGTCTATTGGTGAGCCTCCTTGCTTTCCGGAGGATCCATTTCATTGCTTTCTAGTTTAGTTCATTAAGATGTTGTGGGGTTTGTCCCAACATCCATCTCAGTTGTTATTAGAGGTTTCATAGACAGTCAGATGTTAGTCCTTTGAGTCTTTTCACTATAGTTTCTTATTGTTAAGACTTAGGTTTCCACTTTTGGCCAAGTTGAAGGTTTAACTTTTAACATTCTCAGTTATCTTGTTATTCAGTTCAGTTAAGTTCATTGAGTTAGTAAGTCAGGCCAAGGGTTCGTTTGGGGCCAGCAATGGTCTTTGAGTGCCAGTCCCGCCCAGGGTGTAGGCTCGGGGTGTGACACATACCCATGATCCCAAATATCCAAACTAGGGCTTTTTCTATCATAGTTTCTGAATCAAAACCATCCCCCATCGATAATTACCCATTCTACTGCGTTCTACAAATCGAAAAATGGATTCGGGGAGTGAAAAACTTATCTTTAGCCTAAAAAAGGGTGGGAAACTGTCAAGTGTCACCTGGGGTTCGTTCCTTAGCTCTAAAAATTGAAAAGTGCAGAATAAAAACGTTTTGGGGTTAATTTACGACTTTAAGTCGCGTTGAGTCCGCCATAACGGCACCCATCCCGCTACAGTGGCTCCGCCCTGGTGGCAGAAATCCCGCCTCAGCGGCTTGCACGGAACCAATGAGCTATTTTAATAATTCCAAGACCCCAATTTCACAACACACCTCTAACTAACGACGCTCGTAAAATCCTTTCACGCTACGATCGATTTCGGGAGTTCTACTCGCCCGAATTCAATTTTGTAAAGTCATACGGATTCCTTAATGAGTTATCTGTCCCCTTATGTAATAAAATTCATAAATAAATCACCCGATTGTTACCAGATTTTCCTACACCTTAATGACTCTGATTTCGTCCAAATCTGGACTAGGTTGGGAAATTTCAAGTTACTACGAAAAAGTTTTCCGACCCAATTTTTTTCTCCGTTGGCATTTCTATAATGACGGAATCCGATCGTTAAAATAGATATCAATTTACCCATCACTCGTCCCCGAGTGACAAACTTAGGAAAAATAGGCTAAGGAAGGAATGAAGTAGTACCTGAATCGACAAACAATTGGGGATACTTGTCTCGCATGTCCCTCTCGGTCTCCCAAGTGGCTTCCTTAACTTGACGATGCTTTTGTTAAACCTTCATGGACTTAGTCTCTTTGGTCCTCAACTTGCGCACATCACGATCAAAAATTGCAATCGGTTCCTCCTCATATTGAAGGTCTTTGTCTAACACAATTAAGTCCTACTTAATGATATAATCCCCGTCGCCATGATACCTCTTCAACATGGACACATGAAATACCGGATGAACTCCCGATAAATTAGGAGGCAAAGCCAATCTATGCGCTACCGGTCCCACACATTCAAGAACCTCAAATGGACCAATGTATCACAGACTTAGCTTACCTTTCTTGCAAAATCTCAATACCCCTTTCATGGGTGATACCTTAAGAAGAACATTCTCACCGGTTTGAAATTCCATGTCTCTTACCTTATGATTCGTATACTTCATTTGTCTACTCTAGGTTGCTAAAAGCTTAGCTTGAATACTCCTCACCTTATCTTGAGCATCCTTCACTAAATCGACCCCCAATAGTTTCACATACCCAACCTCGAACCATCCTATGGGTGATCTACATCTCCTCCCATAGAGTACCTCAAATGGTGTCATATCTATGCTGGAGTGATAACTATTATTATAGGAGAATTTATACAAAGCTTATAAAATAACAAATAAAACTATTAAAACTTAGTAAAAATTAGGTGGGTTGGGTTTTGACCCATTACTAACCCATTACCTAACACATTGGATCCAAATAAATTTGGATTGGGTCGGGTCTTGACCCGTTTATTATCTTGACTCATTTTAACCCGCCCAAATTTAACCCAATCCACCCAATTGTCACCCCTAGTTGCAGGATGCAATTAGCTCTATCTAGAAACTTTACATGATAGAAATTAATGTTGGTCGCAAGGAAATCGTTGGGTCAAATCAGATCGGATCGGTCAACATGGCCATTCCATGATCCACGACCCTAAAACTTATAAAATAGGATACTCTTCTACAATAAATCCTTTTTTTGTTTATCAACTAGTGTAATTTGACAACCAAGTATTATATTCTGAGGTCATACCTAGCCCCCCTCTGCAAGTTTTTGATGGAATATAACTTACAATATACCTGATGATAGTTTAACAAAAAAATAAAAGAAATGGTAGAGGCATTAGGGGTGTGTATCGGTCGATTCAGTTTATCGTTTTTCAATTTTTAAATGTGCTAAATAGATAATCAAACTAATAAGATATTTGTTATCAATTTTTAGTTTATCGATTTTTGGTCTTTATCAGTTCAATTTTTAGTTTAACCAATAAGAAAATGCTTTCAAAACAAATATATGGCTTGTCCAACAATTTGATGCCAAATAAAAAAAGAGAAATCAAATTACTCATTGAGTGCAAAAATTTTGCTTAGTGTAGTAAACGTATAGGAAATACTCACAATTCACAACCCTAGGTGTTGCCTAACCGTTGCCGTCGTCGTTACAAACCTAGCTATCGCTGTTCTTATTTCTTTAGGTTTTGACGTTGTGAACCTAAAGATTAAAGTATAACTAAAACTTAAAGGGTAAATGCAGAGACAGAGTTAAATAGTGTTAATTGTGTAGGGTCCTTATAATTATAGTCTAATATAATGATTATCTTAATATTTTTTGTTTGATATTTATGTGTGACTAAAGATTAAAATAGTAAATTATTATATTTCTTAATGGGTTATCGATTAACCCAATATTAAAAAACCAATATCGAATCGATAATCCAATAAATTTTTTATAAAACAATTAAGTAACAGGTAACCCAATAACAATAAACCAATAACACTTTTTTCGATTCGATTTATTAGTCGATTCGATTTATGCAACCCTTAAAAAGCATACAAAGTAGAATTTTTTTTTTGTTAGGCTAAAAATGTCAATACCTATCTCGAATAGTTATAATAGTATTAATATTATTCTCCCTACCCCAAACTTTAAAACCGGACTAGTAGATCTGCCACTGTCATGTATCTTTGCTTACGAAAAATAAAATAAAATAAAAGGTTTCGACTTTTAAAGTAAAGCAATTAAGTAAACTATCTGGCTAATATATTTCCTTTCCTTTCAATTTTTTTGGCCTATTTTAATTAACTTGGTGCGAAATTTAAAAAAATATAATTATTTTTAAATTTAATGATCTTAAAAATATCATTATTGTCATGTGGAAAGTTAAAATTAAAGAATCACTAAAATGAGAAAAGGTCATTTGTTTTTAAACAAACTAAAAAAAAATAGATCAAACAAATTATACCAAGAAAAAAAAACTAGAGTTTGAAGTAAAATATTTTTTAAATTAATTGCGCAAGCGGTGGGAAAAGCTCCAATGCCCACATTACATAGATTAGCATGACAATAATGCATGTATCGTCATACTTTTATTTCATACATATTACTGAGAACTATTAATGAGCTTTAACGCCACCGATACAAATTAAAGATCCATCATGACCATAGAGTTTGCACCCTGGTTTTGCGGTACAACAATTGACACAAATTCGAGTAAGTTTTGTCGATTCAGGTGGGCAAGTCATATAGGCAACTTTAGGGTCACATTGTTGAGTACAAGCCTTGGGTTCATCACTCTGTCCTTCACACACAAACTTGTTGTCTTTATCGTAATAGTAGCAACCCTTGTAACCCGTGCAACATGTGGTGCATCCAGTGGGTTTAATTATAGTCGGTCCTTCTGAACGGGGACATTTTGAATAAGCAATTTTACGATCACATTCCTTGGAACAACGTTCGTTTGGCTTTCTTGGGTCAGATTGTCCTTCACAAATGAAAGTTCCGTTGGCACTGTAATAGTGGCAACCCTTGTAGCCTGCACAACATGTAGTACATATGGGGTTTCTTGGATCTCCTTCTGAACGTGGACATATCGCATAGCTAAAATTACCACATTCTCTGGTACAAAGCCTGGGATTGATGATATCACGATCCTGGTCTATCGTCGCACTTACATGGAGAAACATTAATCCTACAACAAATATAAGGTATATATATTAAGGAAAAACATATATAACAATACTTGTGTATGTATGAACGAAGAATTTAAAGAGAAAATTAACTTACCAAGAACAAGCAAGCAAGCAAGGAAACTAACATCTTTGTGAACAGCCATTATGGATAATTACTTAGCACTTTGTTTTCTTTTAATTTTGGGGTGAGGAGTGTATGTCCTCGTCCACCTATATTTATAGCAAACAAGTGATCAAATAAAACTCAAAATAGTCAAACCTGTTAATTATTTCAGCTAATTAACATCAATATTCAGTCTCCTCAAATTTGTACTTGCTAGTGTAAGTTTGGCAAGGTAGGATCAAATAGAACAAAAAGAAAGTCGGATTTATTCGTTATTGAGCAGTCGTTTATATTTGACTAATTAATTTTTTATATAACAATTATTTGTATTTGACTAATCAATTTTCTTTAAAAACACTTTTATCAATATTTTACAGTAGTAATTCGTACTTGATAAATGTTCCAAAAATGCTTCTGGCAAAAAGCTATTTTTTTGGCTTTTGAAAAATAACTTTTTCTAGCATTTTAAAGCACTTTATTTGCCACCAAAATCAATTGGCTATTTTTTTTTTAACACCTTTAGCAGCCTAGCTTTTCCCAGTACTCTTTGTGCCGTTTGAATTATCAGTAACTGTCCTTTTGTCATTTGGAGATACTGACCTGCTTGGATTGATTTTTCAGTTTTGATTAATTATATATTTCTTACTTGTGACTTTTGATTTATTTTTGTCATTTAAATTAAAACTAATTAATGTTATTGAGTATTTTTTAACTTACTCAAACGCTATTAAACGGTTGAGATCACTTAAAATGAGTCAATCTAAACTAAGGCTGGCAAACGGACAGGACCGGATCAACAGGACCGGTTTTACCGGAACCGGTCCTCGTTACCGGATTTTGTTACCGGAACCGGTTTTACCGGAATTTTCCAAAGGTTCCATCCGGTCCCTTAGTTACCGGATTGGAACCGGTTTGGACCGGACCGAAACTGGTTCTTACCGGATCATTTATTAAAAAACTTCAATTTAAAACTTTAAACTTTAAAGTTACTTTAAAGTTTCAATTGAATTTAAGTTTAAACTTTAAACTTTAAAGTTTAAAATTGACTTTAAATTTTAAAGTTTATAACTTTAAATTGAATTTAAAGTTTAAAATTGACTTTAAAGTTTGAAGTTTAAAGTTTATATTGAATTTAAAGTTTAAATCTTAATATTCAATTTTATATTAAAGTTTAAACTTTAAACTAATATTAAAATAGTTGAAAATTAAATTTCTAAAATGACTTGGATTAAATATAAGAGACTATTTTAAAAGAAAATCAAGGCGAATAGCCGTATATTTATTCAAATAAATAAATTGTACAATACAATTATTAGAAAGAGACAAAGAGTACATAATCTAGGTATTGAATATTAATTATTGTACTAACAATTGAAACTCTTTTTAAAATCTTTTCGTAACTTTTGTATCATTTCAAAAGGAAACATTTTTTGGAACTTGTATTTGTCGTTCTTCTTCCATTGCTTCCATACCATCATCACTATTATCACCAAATATTTCATCTATTTCGTCTTCTATTTGGCTATTTAATTGTGGTAGTCCGGTATTTCTTCTTTCGGCATTGACCCAATCTCGAAACAACACCGATATTTCCAAACTATCCTTTGCTAATGAATATCGATGATCTCCAATCATAAATCTCGCCGCACTAAAGGCTTGCTCCGAAGCGACCGATGATGCTTGAATCGCTAGTACATCTCGAACAATCCTAGCAATGGTCGGAAATTGATTTTCACGATTCTTCTACCATACTAATATTGGAGCTTGAAGTTGTCCTTCTTCATGCCTAATCTTTTCCCGTGCCTGATTGAAATATAAATCAAAATCATTATTAGTAGATGATTCAAGTTCAAGATAATCATCCATCCAATCATCCGTATCATCGCTTCTAGGTTTACAAGATGGAGGTTCAACTATTGGAATATTTTTTTCCATAGATTTATATGTATTATATAACTCTCTAGCTTTTATATATATGCTACTTTTACAATCTTCAACACTAGGAGTTTCATCATCTCTAATTTCTAAATTTGCATAAATCTTTTCAATCATTCTTTCAACACCTTTTAATTTGTAATTTGGGTTGAAAGTAGTAGCAGTCAAATAGATTTGAGGATAGGAAAAAAATATTTTTTGAATTTTTCAATCATAAAAGCAAGGGAATTTTCAAATCGATCTTTTCCTTTATATTTTGCAAATTCAGATGAAATAGCACAAATATTTACTAAAACAGAAGAAATAGTTGGATAATATTGACCAGAAGCAGCATTTGTTGCTTTATAAAAAACACTTAAAAATTCAATAAGTTCTTTTGTATTTTCCCAATCTTCATAGCCAATTCTTAAATTCGGGTCCGCATTATGAGCATTAAAAACTAATTGTACCGGCTCTTGATAAATATAAGCAACTTCAAGCATTTCAAATAAAGAATTTCATCTAGTGCATACTTCTTTTGGAATTTTTCTATATTCAAGTCCACATTCTTTACAACGATTTTTAAATTCTGTAATTCTAGCTTTTATTTTAGCTTTAAAAATCCAATTACAAGCAAGTCTAATTTTTTCACAAGAAATTTCAAATTGAGAAATACCATATTTTACTATCAAATTATACACATGTGCGGCACACTTAATATGAAAAGAATCATTATCAATTGGACAAAGTCTACATTTTAAATAATCAATTGCTTTCAAATTATTAGAAGCATTATCTAAAGTGACATTCATTATTTTATCACATATTCCATAAAATTGTAAAACAAGGCCTATTTTTGTTGCTATATAAGCACCAGTTTTAGTTTCTTCAACATATTTATATCCTAATATTCGTTTTTGCATGTTCCATTCATGGTCAATCCAATGGACAGTAATTGTAAAATAATCATTACCATTAGGACTACGTCTCATATCAGAAGTAATAGATAATCTACCATCATAATAAACAAATAAACAACGAAGAAAATGACAATATTCTTTTTGATATTTAAAAAGATCACTTTTAATTGTACTTCTTGGAATACCTTCATAATCTGGGTTATACAATTCCCGAATATACTAAATAAAACCAGGATGTGAAGGAAATGAAAAAGGCAAACCACAAACAGCAACCATTTTAGCTAATTCTCTACGATCTTTTTCTTTACTATATGTGCGGTGTGTGCTTCGGCTAGCCGGGTTAGTCATATTTAATACACTTTGAACCATATTAGAACCTCCAGCTTCCATAGAATTTTCAGGTTGAGGTATTCCATTTCTATTAGCCCTTTCTATATCATCTAGGCGAGCAAATTCTTTATTACATTTTCTCAAATGTGTTCTTAGTCGTCCCGTTCCCCCTTGTGTACCCGTAGTTACATGTTTCATGATCAATTTACATTTCGTGCAAGTAACAGTAGTTTTTTCCTCATTTTGTACCAAAAATTTCCATACTAAAGATCTTTTAACACGTACAACGGTATTTGAAAAAGTAGGTAAAGAGGGGACTTCATCTTGTTCCGGTAATTCGGTAGCCGGACTAGTAGGGGTAGGGGTCTCATCATCTTCCTCATTTATTTCTACTTCCTCATCTAATTCTTCTTCAAAATTAGTAAAACATCTATTTAAAGTTTCATGATCTACTTCATTTTCGGAATTAAATTCAATAGGTCGTGAGTCTCGTGTAAAAGAAGTTTCATCAACATGAGTATAATCATTAGTATTAATTCTAAATCTAGGAGGTGGCAAATTTTTAGAATTAGAACTACTTCCTCCTCCCCTATTATTTTTTCTTTCCGACATTGGTCTTTTACCACTATATTTTTCAAAATTCATGTTCAAGTTTAAAATAATTAATATTATGAAAAACAAGCAAAGATAATATAACAAAAAAATAAAATAACTTAATTAATAAACAAATAAAAAATTAAAGTTGGAACGAATGTACCGAACGTCTACGTAAAAGGACGTATAACCAAAGCCGGAATTGAGAGATGCCAATTGAAGCTTCCGATTTACTTCAAATAAATCTCCGAAATTCGAACTCCAAGTCAATATCACAAAATAATAATTATGAATTTATGAGAGATTGAAAATTAAGAGATTTTATAAGATATTAATGAAATAGTGTGTGAATTTGTGATTTTAAATGAAAAAATATGATATATTTATAGTATTAAGGGGTAGAGAGGGGTGGGGGGGCTGTTTGGAGCCGTTTTGGGCCCCAGCCCAACGGCTAAAAGGGCCCAACGGCTCCTTAACGTTAACATTTAAAAAATAAAAAATAAAAATAAAAAATTCAAATTGACCGTTGAACCGGACCGGAACCGGTTCTTACCGGACCGGATCAACCGGATAAAAATCCGGGTTCTGTTTCGGTACCGGTTCCGGTACCTATAAGACCGGTTCCTTACCGGTTCAACCGGTACCAGTCTTACCGGACCGGACCGGACAAAAACCGGTCCGTTTGCCAGCCTTAAATTCTAAACTGACTAAATCCAAAGTAGAAGTGGTTACCAAGTCTAACTAACTTATTACAACTATCCAGAACGTACTTTAGCCATGTGATTATATATTGCGCATACGTTCTATATATTGATGATAAAAAATAATCATGATTAATTGATTACTAACATGTTATAATAATAGATTAATACTGATAGTGCAATGTTAGATTAATACTGATAGTGCAATGTTTAATGATTTTTCTTTTCATGATTAATTGATTACTAACATGTTATAATAGATTTATACTGATAGTGCATTTTTAAAAAAAAATTAATTAAACCTCCTTTGCGTTGAGTATAATTCGATGGATGGTTGTTCAATTCACAGAAAAAACTAAATATAAAATAGGAGTTAAACATCAAGTAAACAATGAAGCAAAATTTACATCAATGATCAATGAAGTTATTTATTAGAAATAAAAACAATGAAGCGGGGTAAGTCTGAGCTTAAGTAAACTCGAAAAATTAGCTCATGATCAGTGGCTTACCCAAGGGAAAGACCAAATACCCTTAAACCTACTGATATCATGAGATCCAACAAATAACGTAGAAACTTGAAG